AGAAATCACTTTTTTTATTGCGCATTCCAAGTAATATCAATCAAACTGCAATTGGGTTTTATCAATCAAATTGCAATTAAGTAATAATAACTTAAACAAATACAGGTAATTTACCAAATGAAAGTTAATTGAAAGTATGTTTTTTTTACATATTAAAAGTTTGTTTTATAGTAAAAGCAGATAACTCCAACAGTCATTTTTTGGCAAAAGCAGATAACCCCACATTTCATGTTTTAGAGTTTAAAAAAACATTCGTTTAATCTTTGTAATCTCCTCAGATGACAATGTAGATGCCTGACAAACGTTGTTGTTGTTGTGATCATAACTTATCGGCTTCTGTTCAAAAACAACAAGGGCGCTTGTCGGCTTCTGCAGTAAAACGTGAAATCGCGATGCCTTGAAAGTGGACAAAACCGGCTTTTTTGACAAAATGTGTTTAGGGTTCAAATCGCGCTATATGTGGAGAATAATGCACGAATAATGCAAATTTTTTTTTAAAGTGGCGTTTATCGGTTTTTGCAAATTAACTCTTCATATATATATATTAATAAACTTGACCCTCTAACACTAGCACTTTTTATTCTATTTCTATTCTACCTACTTTTATTTATTTAAAAAATGACCTTCTAACAGAAGCGTTCTCTATTCTTATTCTATTCTATCTACTTGTTTTCTTTTTATTTATTATTTACAAAAAAAAGACTAACCGGGACTTGTCACAGCACTTACATATTATTGCTCTTTTGTTGGTTTGTTTGCTTCTATTGTCCTCATTTGTAAGTTGCTTTGGATAGAAGCGTCTGCGAAATTACTAAATGTAAATGTAGACGTTCAGATCACAAAAAGTAGGTTCAATGACTTAAACTGACTGTTAAGTCCTTGTTAAGGATGTACCGTAGGTGGAAATATCTAAGCTAAATTCATCTGGTTTATTATTGTAGCTCATTCAAGATCACTGACTGTCTAAAATGAAATGATTCAAGGGGATATCAAATCCTGTGCTGCCAACAAACACTGTCCTTTTCATGACAGCTGGATGTCAAACCACTGTGTAATAGCAGGTATGAAATGAGTAAATGTTCAACAAGGACTCTTACCATAAATAGACCTCTCATTTGTAATGAGAACGGAGAGCCCGTCTTGTAGATAGAGCGCATCGCATGCAGGCATCTACCTCGCAGCTGACGAGAGGCTACTGATACTCCGATAGACAGGTTGGGCGTAAACACACATATTAATACATTAACAGAAGGGCGTGCGGGAACGCTCAGCGCCTGGTAATCTGGAGCGACTGGAGCGGGACTGATAAGATTCTCTACCGCTTCCCGCAGCGCAGGCACCTGTTGGCTGCCGGCCAATCAGAGCTCATTCCGAGAGCCTACATCAGGAGAAAAGAAAGCTGCAGGCATGGTGCGTCTCCACCCCCCGTCCAAAAATACACAAAATCAGAGTTTGCATTCGATATTTCAGACAGCCGCTGTCAACATGATTCACTCCCCTGTCAGCCGGCGCAGAAATAAAATAATGAAATCCACCTCGAGGTAGAACAAAATTGTGCCGAGGAGAATATTTTACGGGGCCTCTCGGCCGGATGGTCTGCGTGTGTAGGTTGAGATGTAAATCGATAGGAGGACAGTTCACACGACCGCACGCTTCGATTTAAATAACAGCGAAAGTGACTCACCAAGCCACTGATGATTTGATTATTTATATATCGTGAGACTTCATTTGCTGCGAGCATGTGGTTTATTACTTCCAATTATTAGTGTGTCTACAAAACTAATTGGTCATAAACAATATGCGAGCAGTGGGTTTGTGATTAAGTGGCATTTCTGTGAGGGTCTAACCCCCACCTAAGCTCATGCACGGATCCAGAACTAGTCAAACAAACTATTACAAAAGGACTTGTGCTCCTCTGATCCATCCGCGGCGTTCGGAAAAATGACCATGCAAACTTCAATAAGATTAATGATATTGATGAATGCATTCAACTTCTTCTGCGTCTTGATGTGAATTCCTTGTGAAGAACAAAGATTGTGAGCTTCTCTGTAATAGAATCTACCGCTCAGAGACGTGGTGTAGAATGCCAAAGACAGGCTTGAGAAAATTCTAATTTAATTCTGTACACGAGCTTCAAATTCTTCCTACGCACAGAATGTAACTTGTAATTTTTCCCCCCTCCGACGGAGAGATTTCCACTTGATAATCGCAATCCTGGCAGATGAGATGGAGACGATGCGAGCAATTATTCTACACAGACCCTCATAACTCAGTTTGTCTTTTTGCACCCTTCTTAACCTTTAAGAACAGCTCAGTGGGCCAGCATCTGTCTGATACCTTTAGAGACCATCCTGTCTCCACAGGGGGCTTTCATAGAGTTTGTCTTGCACTACAATCTCTTTTTAATGGAGTTTTGAATTTTAGTGGAAATGCCAGGCCGTGGAGCCAAAGTGCATTTAATTGAGTTGAGCTCGCCTAATTTCTGAGCTCGCCTGCCAAATCTGCAATTTAGCAGCCTGCGATTGCTCTTCGGATTTCACAGTGTTGGGTGAAACTGATGGTTCGCCATGTCTTTTGACCAGAGCAAGATCACCAAAGCTGGCAGAACCACAAGGAAAAAAAGGAAGCATCCAAACTGTGCGAAGTTTGTGATGTGCCAGCCGGATGACAGGTTGGCATGAGAAGAAACCCACGCCGTTCCCAGTGGTCGTGTAATTGGTGCCAGCTCTTTCAATTTCAAACGAAAATTAAAAGCATTTCATCCCAAACCAAGGACGGGTTTGGTCCCTGAGCTCAAAAACTGGCATCTAAAATAGTAAATATTAAACGTAACAGTGTGAATGCTCTTTGTTCATTTGTCTGTTACATTTCACACAATCACTGCTGCAAATAAAGTCTATTTCATCTTCAATGAAAAGATTCAATATTAGTGTCGTCCAATGTGGCACATAATGCCAAAGAAAGTGAATGTTCACTCCTTCAAATGTAATTCAAAATCGTCTCAATGACGTCCTGTGGTTATATTGCCCCTACAGCAGTGCTGACGAAACTTAACACAGATCCCATGCTTAGACAACACTGCCCCCTGTCAGTCTAATTTACAAAGCAGTCCTTCACCTTCTTCAGACTGGTATGAGTCAACACATTGTGAATTACCCTGCCATTCAAATTACACTACCATTCAAAAGTATCAGTAAGATTTTTTAAAGGAATTAATACTTTTATCCAGTGAGGACGCATTAAATTGATCAAAAGTGACAGCAAAAACATTTATAATGTTACAAAAGACTTCTATTTCAAATAAATGCTATTCTTTTAAACATTTTTTTATTCATCATTTTTTCCACAAAAATATTAAGCAGCACAAATGGTTTCAACATTAAAAATAATAAAAGATGTTTCTCGAGCAATCAGCTTATTAGAATGATTTCTGAAAGATTATGTGATTGGAGTAATGGCTGCTGAAAATTCAGCTTTGCTATCAAATGAATAAATCTAAAAATATTAAAATAGAAAACAGCTATTTTAAATTCTAATAATGTCTCACGATATTACTGTTTTACTGTATTTTTTATCAAATAAATGTAACCATGGTGAGCACAAGAGGACTTTTGAACAGTAGTGTATTAATCAAATAATTTGAAACTCACATAACCATAAATGTGTATGATCCCTGAAAATTTCCCACATTTATATATTGTTTGCCATTAAAATGTAATCAGTGTTAATTTGGCACGATTGATGACAGCATTTAATTTACACGAAAGCAAAGCCTAAAACTTAAACTCGACCACAACATTCTTACCGGGAAGCTTGTACTTGTTGTAAAAGGATACTTTCTCTTTCTTGTATGATGAGTTGGTTTTGTTGCTCTAGCTGTTGGATTTTTTTCTCAAACGTCTCCTGTTCATCCCTGAGTTTCTGAACAGACTCATCTTTTTCTTCACTAACTCTGAAAAGAAACACAAACAAAACAGATCAGATACACAGCTGTATCACCATGCACAGAAAATCACATTGGCTTGAGGGCTACTGTAATCATTCATTCAGTCTAAAAAGTATCAGTTCACTATAATGAGAAGGCTTTACCTGGCCAGCTCCTGGATGAGATTGGCAATCCGACGCTTGTCCTCTGGGCAGAGATCCTTCAATGATGGCTTACTTTTGGCTTGAGCAGCGCTGAAAAGAGGCTACAGTCCAGAACAGACACTTTTAAATTTTATTTCCACACATCTATAAAACACAAATTTCTGAAGATGTTATGTACAAATCAAATGAACAAAACTGATTAGATTCTTAGTACCTCCTAAAAATAACCGTGTGAATTAACGACTGCCAAAGAGAATTAGATTTGCACGTCCTGAAGGAAATATCAGTTCATGCAAGGTGATGTTCGATAAAGACAAAATTGCATATGCAAATATTAACATAACAGAGTATATGCAAAACAACACATTGTCTAAATCTACTAGTTGACCTGTTGATCGGTCTTATTGAAGCAATGAATTATTAAGCTGGTTTCAGGGGTACCCAAAATTGTATGCACAAAATGTCTAAAATCTAAAGCAAGTCAATAATTCAGACACACTTGCCTGTTTCTAGTGTGTTCAAAAAACTTTTGATCTAAAGGCCGGACAGATAAAAAAAAAATGTAGACAAATATAATACAAAATGAATTCCTAAATTTATTTTAATTAGCTATTTTTAAGTTGTTGCTGGAGTGGACATTGAAGAAAAATCAGTCAAAAAGTGTCCAACATACATTCAATTATAGGTCAAATAATAGATATTTCTGAATTTATTAAACATATTTTGGTCACTACTCACTACATAATTTTCATACCATCATTTGGCATCATAGTTTCATAGTTTTTAAAAGTGTATTATTTAACATGTGGAAAATAGCAATAGTACAGAGTAAACTTTTGATTGCAATGTATGTTAAATGATTAGATTTGAATTAATTACAGACACAAGGATGCAAACTCATCAGGTGTAAAAAAAAAAAATGGGACAAAAAGGGGAAGATTTTTTTTAAATGTGGATTTTCATTTGATTTTAGCATAAGTATATACAGTCTCTGCTTCAGCTGTGTCATGCCACACTGGCATTGTTGTTTTTATTTCAAAGCAACGATAATTGGCAAATGGTGACAAGTTTGCATCCCTGCAGACAACTGAGGCACTTCACCTCACATACGCTGTAAATATTAATTTTTCAATGCCTACCTGAGCTAAAGTGAGAGAAGGCAGGTCCGGTTCTGGTGCAGGTGTAGTGGTTTTGGATTTGGCTACAACAGAAGGCAGCTTCTGATCTGAAGCTTTACCCACCATCATCTCAGCACTTTGCAATGCTGAATGCAATCCTGTTATTTTCCTACTTTTATCCATGCCGCTAGCTCTTCTTTTTATCTTTCCCTCTGTATTATTTGTAGACCCAACCTTCAGACCGGCATTCTTGCTCATCCCTAAGAGAGGATGGGAGTGACAGTTTTGAAATGTCAAACATGAGTTGTCAGAATGATGAACAAGTCGTGATATTTTAGTATTTGACAGTATCAGTCTAAAACATTGAAAATGACATAAATCCAAGTCTCACCTGTAACAAAAACCATGGGCTGCTCTTCGTCTGATTCTAAGCAAGTTAAAGAAAACACAACATGCCTACCATAAAAATAAGTCTATCAGCTAACGGTCTAAAAATATTGAAGAGAATAAGACTGCAGCATTAATCCAGAATTACTCCAGTATACGCGGTAAAATGTTACGTGGTAGTTAGACTTATGTGATACTATTGTAATGCATTGTAATGTATGTGTATGCATTTTACTGTAGTACTGAAGCAGTATATTATTGTAGTACATTTCAGAGAAGTATACTTGTAACGTTACATTGAAAAACGCTTACAATTCACTGCACTACGTTTCTTTCTAATTAAATTAATTAAATTCAGTACAGTAAATGTATTGTCACGACAACTGCAGCTTTATGTACTAAAACTAGAGTCCGGTTAAGCTGACAATGAAAATCCGCTAATAAGCTATTAGCCTCCCTTCTCTCATAAACACAGACCACGGTACACGGTTGACCTTTAATGCTTACTAAATCATAATAATATAAATAATTTAAACAGACTCATTGAACAAAAACACGAAAAAAAATTTAAGGATACTGTCATGAATCCAGTAAAATCCATTGCCATTTGCGCCCTCAGCAACAGACGCCATACTGAAACAACCGCCACTTCCAGATTATGCGCAGGAGCTCCTCCTCTTTTTCATTTCTGGGGAGTGTCATTGGATAACATTCACTTGCCGCACCCGTCTATCTAGGATACTATTGGTCAAATTACTCATCTGTCATATTCTCAGCCAATAGAAGAGGAGAACCTCAGTGTTTTGGTTCTGCGTGCTTGGTTACCTCAGCAGCATCCGTCGGTGTGACAATGCAGCACGCGAATCAATGGCATAGAAGTATTTGTGTTATTTTGGAATGGAGGAGGTAAAAGATGACAAGACATGCAAGGGGTTTGTAGACAGACTCACCCTCGGTATTATTCGGGTTTTGGGTGAGTGGACAATGCTTAATATTATTAATTATAAACCGCATCCTAGACTGCATGGTCTCCCGGGTTGTTTTGGTTTTAGGTGGTCAGGATGGGAGGCCAGCCAAGAGCAACAAACAAAGCACCTTTTAGGGTGGATAAATATGTTTGTTTTCTTCATTAAAGTTGCTAATGCAAACCAGGTCAATTATCAATGCCCAAACTGAGATTAATTTATTATTTAATGATTGATTTATTATTTTTGCTTACGCATATATGTGCATTGCATTCATGTGTTTGACAGGGAACCTCCCAGGTGTGCTGGATGTACGATTTGTAGAGAAACCCCCTGCAGAAAAGCGATGCCTTCTCTCCTGGGAGCAGGTATGGAGGAATTTCAGTTTACCAGAGAAGAATCTCAAAGCAAAGCTTTGATGTGGGTATGTTTACATCAGGTGTGCTTTTCCTGTGTTTGCCAGAAAAACAACTGTGCTTTGCCGGAAGATCTAAGAGATTTCTATCTCACAACAGATGGCTTCATGCTTGCCTGGAACACCAAGCTGGAAAGTGAGCACCCTTAAACATGCACTGATCTCTTAACCCCATTATAGTTTGGATCAACTGTAAACGATGCTGTTTAATAATGTATCCCTATTATGCTGCTTCTTCAAATCTGATCAGTGTTTTCCTTCACATAATTTTCTGATTCCATATCGTAGTTAAGCTTAAAAAAATTGAGTAAATTTATATGCTTTGTGTCTTACAGATGAAGTGGTTCCAGTGGGTTGCATGATGATCAGCAATGTTGCTCAGTTACGCCCCCTGATTCAGTCAAATGTATATTCCCTCCCCAATGCACCTACTTTAGCTGATCTTGACTTCGATGATGACTTAGAGGGTGATATTTTCTTACATCTTTAGGCATTTTTCTGGTATAGCGTAATGTCTTTGCATGCCTTTTGTTCATTAAATTTTGCATGAATTATACATCTGATTTTTAAAATTTGTACCTAAGAGTCTTTTCTGTTTTTAGAATCAGATGGCCCTGAAAAACCTCATTTTGATTCTCGTAGCCGCATCTTTGAGCTGGACCCCTGCAATGGTAATGGCAAAGTTTGCCTTGTTTACAAGAATTGCACTTCAGGTGATTATGCATCCCACAATTAATCCAGAAAGATATAAAGAGATGGCATACAAAAAGGTTTCATATCATTTTAATCTACCATCTGGCCCTGTGTCTGCTGGCCCGTTCTGTGTAGGTGTAATGGCCCAGCAGTGTGAGGTGTGGTTCTTGGACCGATCACTTTTCTGGCACTATCTCACCCCCTCCTTCACTGCCTACTACCGGCTTATGATCACTCATCTGGGGCTGCCGGAGTGGCAGTATAATTTCACTCCGTATGGCCCCAGCCCACAAGCTAAGGTCAGCATTATCTATTCAGATCTATCTAAACCGAAGATTTGAACAGTGGCGGCTCGTGGGTTTTAAAATAGAGGAGGCACACTAATTGTATTGGTCTGGGATCCCTGCCGATTATTATTATTATTATT